AAAGTACATGCAAGGAAAGTTTAAAAAAATTGAGAGAGAGCTCTGTTTTGCTCTGATAATAAATGAGCTCCCTGTGACAGCAGCAAGCAGCAGCTCTGGCTGCGGGCAGCACGTGCTGCTGTTTCCTGGCAGCTGAAACATGAAGAAGTGGAAGCTCTGAATACATCTGGTTCAATTTTCTGTAACAGCTCAATTTTTATTGTGATTCCAAACCTGTCAGGCTTTCTCTCTGTGCAACAATGATAATAGCAGCAGTAGAAAAGATTTTCAGCTTTGGTGAAATTCTCAGCTTTCAGAGACAGAAAGCAGAAATAAAGCACCTGTGGTGGACTGACCCTGGCTGGACAACAGGGGCTGACAAAAGCTGCTCTGTCACTTCTCAACTGGACATGGGAGAGAAATATAACAAGAGTCTTACGGGTCAAAATAAGGATAGGGAGAAATCGCTCACCAATGGGCAAAAGAGACTTAACTCAAGGAAATTAGTTGAATTTATTACCAAATAATAACATTACCAAATCACAGTAGGGTCATGAGCAATGAAAAAATAAATCTTAAAACATCTTCCCCCCACCCACTCTTTTTCCTGGGCTTAACTTTTTCCCCATAAGGACTACAGTCAGTTGATCACAGGTTGTCTCTGCCTTTTCTCCCTCTGCAGAGGCAGGACTCCTCACACTCTTACCTGCTCCAGCGTGGAGTCCCTCCCCTGGGAGACAGTTCTCCGTGAAATTCTCTGTCATGAGTCCTTCCCACAGGCTGTAGCTCTTCATGAACTGCTCCAGCACAGGTCCTTTATGGGGTCACAGCCTCCTTCAGGCATTCACCAGATCCAGTGTGGGGTCCTCCAGAGGCTGCAGGTGGAGCTCTGCTCCACCCTGGACCTCTCTGGGCTGCAGGGGCACAGCTGCCTCCCCATGGGCTTCACCAGGGGCTGCAGGGGAATCTGCTCTGGCACTCGGAGCACCTCCTGCCCCTCCTTCTGCACTGACCTTGGTGTCAGCAGAGTTGTGGCTCTCATATTTTCTCTCTCCTCTCTCTTGCTCAAGTTATACAGTTTTATCCCCTTAAATATGTTATCCCAGAGTCACTTCCACCATCACAGATGGGCTCAGCCTTGGCCAGGAGTGGGTCCATCCTGGATCCATCCAGTACTGGCTCTATTGGACATAAGGGAAACTTCTAGTGCCACCCCATGACCCCTCCTGCTACCAAAAGCTTGTCATGCAAACCCAACACAGCACCTAAATTCAAGTGCAGCCTTGACTGCTTGAGTATGGGGAGTTCTCACAGCCTATTCAGGCATCCCTCTCAGACCAGGATTCTAGCTCAGTGCCTAGCATCAGACAGCCAGGATTGACATTCTTAATCTGTTAAGGTAGGAGGAAAGTCTGAAATCTGTAAGACACAGCAAGATAAGCACCTTCTGCAGTAGAAGAGGGGAAAAAAGTGCCCACTGTAAATCTGGGCACTACAGCAGCAAGTATCACACACATCCAGATTGTAGATCCTCTCCTGTAACACATGCACTGCTTCCAATTTCTGATGAAGCAGGAAGAAAAGTCTGGGCCATCATACAACTTCCACAGCCCTGCACATAACACACATTGCAGCAGAAGGCAATGGAAAGCAGGGCTGACCTCTCTTCTCACCCTTTATGAACTGGGTGCCAACTGCTCCATTACACAGGAAATTACAGAAACCTGTAGGTTGCTAATTTTACTGCTGGTAATGGAGATGGCTGCTCACATACTTCTTGCACGGTTGTCCACCTAAATCTGAAATCACAGTTTAACTTCCTAAGAATTTAATGCCATCTAACACATTTATCTTTTATCAGTAAACAGGCTGAGATTCTTATCTCCAATGTTTTTAACAGTTTTTAATAGATATCCCTGTTTCGCTTTGCTCAAAGCACCTAACGAGCTGTGCATTCAGAAAAATCATTCAAGCAAGTGCTCCATTTTCTAAATATTTCTGTGATTTCAGAAAGGCTGCCAGAAAAAAAAAAAAAAGAGACAGTAAATTCAGCCCTGCACAGACAAAACAGAATGGTAACTTATGAGTTCAGCTCCCAGCAGCAGCATCAAGGGTTGGTACCAACACTGCAAATTGGGATTTTTGGTTTGTGTAACCCAAAATCACTCTAAAATCTAAACATTTCCTCCTCCCTCCTCCATTTAGGTACAGAGAGCTACTGTCTCTATAGAAAATAAATCATAAATCAGGCCAATAGCTATGCTTTCAAGAATATTAAGCAGTACTCTATCTGTTTTTACAGTAATATAGGACTTTCCCAAAAAGCTACATCACTGGTAACCAGTGGTAAAATAAAGTCCTAAAGAAAAAGAGAGATGAAAAATGAAGACAAAAACCCAGATGTAGATATAAGCAAAAACTGAGGAAAGGGAAAACAAACCAAGCTAGGAATGAAGATAATGAAAATGGTCAGGTTAGCAGCCCAGTGAAACACGGCTAAGGACCAATCCCAGATGGGAACCTGGGCCTGAGGGCAAAGAAATGAGTTTGGGTTCCTGCAAAAATACTCACATTCTGGGTCAGGGTCTTCAGTCACTTATTAGCACTCATGGGCAGCTGCAGTCAGAGAACACTGGGTTGAGTAGTGGAGGTTATTTCAGTGAGAAAAGAATGTTGCAAAATAATGGATGTCAAATAGTAAAGGGAAAAATTTTTGGAGGCAATGAATGGCAATCTATCATGAACAGAAGCTGAAAAATCAGATTTCAGTAGCAGATTTGTAACTGAGGCTATACATGGGGAAGACCAGTTCATGCTCTTTCATGATTGGACTAAGTGTCTATGGATTTATACACAGCTCTTAAAAAGCTTCAGTGAATGTACTCCAGATGGCAAAGGGAATGGGTATAATTGACTTTGAACATGAGAAATTTGATTTAAAGCCTCTTTCCCCTGTCACTGCCTATCTCTTTAACAGTTTTGGGTGAAAACTCCTTCCTTGGCTGTTCTGCTAAGGATAATAGTTGCCCTAGCTTCCTCTGTGCCAGGAACCCAAGTGCACCCCTGAAGATTTGGAGGCACAGCAAATGCAGCCATCAACTAGATTTCAGGGACTATAAAACAAGTGTCAACCCCAGGCTTATGCTGTCTTCTCCTCTTTGCAATTTCTCTTTCAACCTATGGGGTTTTTATTTGTTTTTAAAAGATTTTTCCCCAGCTTTTTTTTATCCAAATAAGGCTGTTTTCTTTCTCCTACTTTCACACAATTAAGTTTTTTCAGAGAAGAGACAGATGAAAGAATTATTTCTTGTCAGCAAGACTTGTACCTGGGTGACACACAATTCCTTATTTGGTTAAAACACAGTCTAATGGTGTTAGTTTGCATTCTCCTTTATCAGTCTATTATTTTCTGAAGCTGTTTCAAAGAGCACAACGGGATTCAGAGCTTCAATATTGTTGCTACAGCAGTGAGGATGGATTTGGCTGAGTTTCACAGAGAGATACAAACATGATTCACACCTGCTGCTTACTTAAGATACATAATGAAAGGTTTACATGTGACGTTTTCAGTTTCTAATAAACAGATTTTTTAGAAGAGGTAGATTATATTTAGGAACACTTACCTAGAGTATCATGTAAGCATGTTTCATGTCACAGGTCTCTAACACAAAAGCAGAAGGGTTTTTATCTTAGTACACAAACCTCAGATTTTATGAGTTAGAAGTGTACTTTTAAGTGAAAATACAGGACAGAAAGCCCAAAAGCATTATGATTTATACAACATAAGGAATACGAGCACCTTGGAAGCTCTGAAAAGGCTCCAAGGCTCCCTTTGAGCCCTAACTGGACAGTAAGAGTTGGAATTTTGGAACCTCTGGGCTCACAGTTACTGAGGATGCTATTTTCTTGGGTTTTAATTGTGGTGAAAAGAACATGGGAGCCTGCATGAGAAAGACTTTTCAGGGCCTCTGTAAAAAAGTTTGCCTCTACTTAGAGAAAAGCATTCCCACAGGAATGAATTTATTCAAATTTTTATTTTTAGCCAAAATAACTCCACTCTTCAGATAATGTGTGCAAACCACCCTCATACTTAGTGACACACTGCCCAGATCCCTCCACCTGCCATTGTGGCACACTGTAGTCACCTGCACACGAGGTTAAGGCAGCCAGGACCACTTCCCTTAGGGGCAAGCACTGCAGCTGGACACCAGCTACTGGACCACAAGGTTTTTCTCCTTGATGGACTTGAGTTACTAAGCAGTTTTAGAAAAAGGCTGTTGGCTGACTTATGCTCAAATCTTAATAGGGAGTAGGACACTAAAGTTAAGAGACGTTTCTTAATTGCTTTTTAAAAATACAAGCTTATTAGTCTATAGCATAACTAGAAATGAAAATGAGCAGCTCCAGAGTTCAACCTCAGCAAAATATGGAAGGGATCCCCACTCTAGTCCCTATTTAAAACAAACACACCCCTCAACAGTCTTTGATGCTGTATTTGATCAATCTCTGTATTTTTTTCTTACAGAGTGTGTGAATGGCTGTGGTATGGCAATGAATCCTCTCATGCTGCAGGAGGAGACCAGGACTTGCAGAGCACCAGGCAGATTGGACTTTTCACTGTGCTCTGTCCAGGTACATGTGGCAGACACTGGGCAGCCAAAGCTGCAAGGAAAATTTGCTCTTAACTGGAAGAGAAGGCAGCAGTGAGACCAGATTGTACAGAGTGGAAATTAGGCAGATGGGCACAGATAAGAGCCACTGGCACCTGGGATTCAGCTTCCGATTTGGGCCCCTGGCTCTGGTACCATTCCCTCCACCACCAATTTTCATCCTTACTCTCCAGCACTGGAATGTAAATATCCCCCTTCTTGCCTCATCTCTGAATTTACAGTGGCTACAGCCAGCAAATCTGTCCTGTGCATCTCCACAAACTGCTCCGGTTGGGGTGGAATTCCCGGGTTAATGACATGTGCAGTGCAGCTCACCTCTGAGCAATGGGAAGAACACCAAGAAGCCTGCAGTGTTAAAAAGGAACATTTTATTGCAAGAGATTACAAACCTGGCACTATGGCCAAATGTTTCCATTACATCACAATTGCTACCCATGTATAGGCAACAGCACCTACAAAGCACGGTGGATTGAAATATCTGAAATCATAATGCAGTCAGCTTTTTAAAGTAAGTATCACCCCGAAAAGTTTGGGATTTTCTTTAAACAAACTCAAAACTATATAAATCTTTAAAATACGAATCTGGTGTTTAAATATCCAGGCCACTAACTACTGTTATAAAAAGTGGAAAAGTCTGTTAACCATAGTGCTGAACTAAAAAGGGTTTGTTCACAGCCCATAACCATTTAGTTAAAAGCAAATACTTGTTAATCACTGCTAATGTTCCCACATTTGTTCAGCCCAATTTATCTTATGTAGGTTTTCGGAATCAGGTAGATTTAATGCATAACCCCTCTTTAAAGCACTGCAGGAAACCTAGAACCATAACTAGCTCAGGAAAAGCATCACACTCAAAAGCAGCATCGCATCTTCCCATCTCAGTCCTGTGACACTGACCTTTAGAAACTTTGGATGCTCTCCTCTGAGCCTCAGTTCATAACTCGTGTTTCTCCTGTGATCACTTACCTCAAAGAGCTTGGTGATTTCCCTGAGCATGGCTGAAACAGGAGGAATTAGTGCAGGCACACAGCTCAAACACGACCTGCCTGGCCCAGGACTCACACCCGACTGGCAGTGCCCCCCTCAGCACGGCCGTGCTCGCTCTCCCTCCCCACACCTACGGTCACAGTCCTTCCTCTCCCAGCAGGAGCAGCCAGCAGCTCATTTCCTGACACTGCTGCCTGGGGAAGGTGAGCCCTGAGGAAGAAGCTGGATCTGGAGCTGGACCCCCTCAGTCCGTGGGAGCAGCCCACCTCACACAGCTCCCCGAGCCACTCGGAACAGTACTGGCCAAAGAGCAGTACCCGCCCAGCACGCCTTGTCTGCTCACCTCCATTTGCCAGGCGTCCAGCCTGAACACACTACCCCATGGCAGCAGCTACCGCGGGCACTTCAAATTATCACCTACCCAAGGCTCTGCAGAAACATCTTCTCAAGGAATGCAAGCAGAGTTTTAACTTTTGAAAGAGGATTTGGAAATATCACTGGGGCTAGGGAATATAGGCCATCATCTTAAGAAAAGTGTATGGGGGTGGTCTTTACAATTTTCCTGAGGCTACTACTAAAGAGACCTTTACCAGAAACTAGGATAACTTCAGAAACAAGTAGGACTGTGATAAAGAACCAAAATCAACCAAACAAAAAATCACTGTGCCACTGTAGCCTTTACCCCAAAGCAATCTAAGCCAACCTGAACAGACTAACACCTGTGTTTAGATGTGCAATTCTGGTGGAGGTCCAGCTCTTTAGCATGGACTGCCACAGAGCCCCTCAAGCCACATAACATCAGACTGGCATCACAAAGTGACTGATTTAATTTACCCTCTTCTACCACATTATTTCGAATTTTGGTAACTCCGGAGAGGAGGATTTATATTTCCTTGTAGATAATGATTAAAAAATACCTGTATTTCCAAACAAAAGAAACCAGGAAAACAAATAGTCCCACTTGAGGACTACAGGCTATGGACAGCTAATAGTACTCTATTTTTTTTTAAAGATTATTCAGCCTGTATCAACCACATATACAATTAATTTAATAATGAGAAGTATTCTAGAACTCGTACATATTTTTCGAATATACCACAAGGATCTGATGCCAGCAGGCCACACAGTTTGTCACTGAAAACTGCTCCTCATCAACAGAATCTCATTTTGGAAACTGATCAGCCCTAGAGCTCACTGCTCTTCAGACACAACCCTGAATTTTAGTATTATATAAAGAAGCTCACTATTGGGGTTTAATGAATTAAACAGAATTAAGTAGGGTTTTAAAAATTATTATTATTGATCTAGTAAGAGTTTTTTGCTAACGCAAAATTTTGCACAGTATGGCTTCACCTCACAAGCATTCTTAACAACACTAGATAAATATCATTTGCACTTAATTGATCTTTTCATTTGCTAAACAGCCATAAAACATGGTGCTCTCACAAGCACCTTTTTGGTGAGAAGGGTAAACAAGCACTCTATTAAAGCATTATAAACATTCAAGGTGATGTGATTACTTCCCTCTATTCTGTTTCAATACATTGCTTTAAATCTTCAGTTTTCACATCATATTAAAAAGTCCCACAAGTATCCACAAATTCAGAAATTTGTTACTCTGCATACACGATTGGTCTGCAATACACTTCAACATCCCAGTTATCTTTTCTAAAATCTCGAAAGCATGTATTCCTCCAGCCTTCAAATGTAACTATGTAGATTTTCCACTTACAAGAGAATAAATTTCAACAAGAAAGCTAAACTTAACTGTAGCAATTTGTACAGTTAAACACCTGACAGAACTAATTTAATGATAGCCCTGACAGAGCTAGGATGGCCTTGTCTGAGGCCTCTTTCTTGCACAGCTGTGCATTTTTAGCCCGTCTATTCTATCAGAACATTAACAAGCCTCATGTGTTAACTCTGAGCTCTGTGCATCCAGGAAGACAGACATTTATTCATACTTTCCACCAATCAAATGTAATGCGTCTGTGAACAATTCAGTTTATTGCAAGTAAATGTACTTTTACTCAAGATCATGAGAAGATTGTATTCTCAAGCAAGACAAATCAATTCCACAAACTTAATTCACACAATGCAAATAAATGCTTCACATTATAGACATTTAGATTTTCTTTAAACCTTTTTATTTAGAGATTTTTCTGGTAAGGAGATATACCATAGGAAAGCAATTTCACTGGCAGTGAGGTATGTATATACTCTACCAAAATACTCCTCTTGCTTTAACTGCTTTTAACTTTATTTACATATAAAGAAAATATCAATGCATATCCTTGGCTTAACTACAGTATCTGTTACCCTATATGAGTAAAATGAAATGTTACTTGCATACAAAATTGATTTGTAGAGGAATCTAATTTAAACAAAAATCATGTTCTGAAGACAGTTTAAATGAACAAACACAATTCATCATGACCAAGACACCTGCACCATATTTCCATCCTCACAGCACATTTATTTCAATAATTCTGTAAGTAGGTCCTTAGCATGAGCATAGTGTTACAGTTTTCATACATATAATCACATCCAAAACAAGCTCTAAAATTTAAGTTGTAAACATTCTCTTCATATGTAGAAACATTTCAATCTGTGTTTGAATTTTCTAAAATGATCAATCTTTTAAACAGAATTATAAATGAAAAGCCTACTCTAACCGTGTAGTGAGCAATGCTTATTAGTACATTTCTACAGTGTTAAATAAAATAGTAGAGGCAAACTTCTGTAAGCAAGTCAGACTTTAAGTAAATTGTCATAAAAGTAACAAACTTGTTAACAAAAAGATGCTTTGTAATAAAGAAAGTTGGATTTAATCTACTATGATACAAAAACATAAGGGTAAATACCATCTTTGTTGACAAGTAGGAGGTAGCATGGATGCACCACTTTATTGTCAGTGAGAAATGCAACTGAAGTAAAGAATATTTCCTTACCACAAATTTCCAGTATTATGTACATATTTCTCTTAGAAATTTGTTTAAACAAGTTTCCCTCCACTTTTTAGTACAAAAAGCCTCATGTGATTTAAAAAAAACACTTACACACCTAGATAGAATAGTACTAATTGCCCTATTTGAACGAAACAGTCTCTTGAACTATGAAGTACATGGTATTTAATGCCCTAAGTTGAGTAAATTGTATTAGCAGTTCTTGGTATTATACAAAACACTACATACATACAAACAAAATATAATAGTATCTTATTTTACTATGTAATTCTTTTTGGAATAAACAGAATCTTGATTTGGGTAACACTGAAGAGAACGTGGTTTCTTTGTTTTATTAAATCTGTCTTTTAAGTACCCATGTGCAACAATTAAAAAATGGCTGCCATACATACAATGGTCTTGTATTGATAGTGAACACAGTAACTGACAAAAACATAATAAACCTTAAAAACACATCTTCCACCCTATATAAAATATAAAGACTACTTACTGTAACTGTTAAGTATTCAATTTATTTTGATGTTACTGTAATCCACTTCCTCTATTTTCTCTCTTTAGCATTTATAAACATAATTTAGTGTAGCAATTTATCTTAAAAAATGATGAAGTATTTCAAATTTACACCCAATTAAAATTTTAAATGCTTCTGTGTTCTATGATGCTGCTTCTGCCATCAGTAAAGAAAATGAAGTTTCAGTGATTGAAGCAGGCTTTTTAAGTAGTGATGTGACCTCAACCATGCCAGCTCCAGTCCGTGGAAGATTTGCGTTGACAATGTGTCGCTGCAAGTGCTTTATCCAGTCTTCTTGAACAGACAAAGGTCCTCGAAAGACCAGACCACAAAACCTATGCAAATAGTAAAATTAATCCATCAAGATACATCAATCTCTACTGAAAAATTATAAAATAAAGACAGTAAGAGGAAAGTCTTAATTTTCTTGAAGTTTGTTTCTACATGTTTTAGCTGAAAAACATAGTAATTGAGTTCATTAGTAGTAACTGTGAGCAAAAAACCCTGCAGCTTATACAACTAACATTCTCACACTTTCAATGCCAGTAATAACAATTTGTTGTTCTTCTGTAAGGTTTCTTTTGAATGATAGAGCATTACTCAGACATGACCAATAAGATTTTAGCTCAAGAAACAACTGGCAATTTGGATGTAACATCCAAATGTGACTTAATCAAATCCTCTTGTTCAAATTAACGAAAACGGACAATTCCTTTCCCCCCTTATTATTCAATTTAATCACAAACATTTACGAATACAATCACAAATATTTTTATGACTAACATTAGTAAGCTCTTAAGAATGTATTCTTCCAATTAAAGTAACACTATGTACCTGCATCTGAGTATGTAAACTTCATCAGCACTATGAGGTAACGGCAGCATTTTCTTCTTGCTTCCAGATCTTGACCTTGACTTCTTTTGCTTACAGTCTAAAGCTAAGAAGAGAAATTTTCAAGTGTGAAAGTAATACTTCGTTGGGTATTAGTTATTCAGTAAGTATTCCCTATACCAAAAATGAAAAGGCATCTACCCTCCTTGTTTTTCTATATTTAATTATGATGTAAATCCAAAACAAGTACAGCGTATTCTAAGAAATACACTGGCAAAACATACGAAGCTGATTTTTTTAGCTTAGCATTGTGCTTGCTCTTTGAAAGATTAGATAATTGACATTCAGCATTAAACTGTTGTTTTAGTATCAGCAAGCACCTACAAGCCTATTGCAGAATTATACAGAAGCAAAGCACCATTGGAAATTCCCTTTCATGCACAAAACACCGTCAAAATCTCAGAACTTGTTTTGTAGTTCAAGCACCATCATAAGACCACTCATGTTCAACCAAGTTACAACTTTTATGAAGTTGTAGCTTTCAGCTAGTACAATCAGGAATTTCTAGTTTGAATAAAACACCTGCCATTTGTTTTCAACACAAAGGAAAAATCTGTCCTTTTGTTCTAAGAATTTCAAATGAAGCTTCCCCTTCACTCCTGTCTGAATTCTAATGAAGCTTATAAAAAGTATGTATTAGTCCTTGGCAGTGGGAGCTGGTATTAGGACAATCAAGAAGGATGGTAAGGCAAATTCTTAAATTCAGTCTAAGCATTTAAAACTGTGTATGAAAGTAACGTGTGTGAACAGGAAATATATAGCAAATGAGTTCAGATAGCTTTGAGGTCTGTATCTCCCATAAACAAACGTAATGGGAGTCTGAAACAAAACCTGGAGATCCGAAGAAGCAGCCAAAGTGGGAGATTAAATGGAATTAATATTGTTATGATGCAAACAGCTGATAAAGCTCAAGAAGTTTGTGACTGCTTGAACTGAGAAGTGTATCTAGCTACACTCTATTCCAAAACACAAGACACCAACAATAGAACTCCAACACAAAAACTTTTTGCAAACAACCAGTTACATCACTTCAACAAAAACTCCACAGAAACCAGAAAGACAGTACCAGGTGGTATTCTTGATACCAAGAAGGCATAATGCTATGCTACTGAAGTGTCATAACAGTAAAATGGGGAAAAAGAAATTGTTACACTTGGCTAAAGTTTTGACTCCTAGAATATAAAACAGAAGAAATAACTTCTTAGCATTCTGAAGCATAAGACATCATCTGGTGAGGTAAAACACGTTGATTTAAAAAACACACAGTCTTGATTGTATCCTTAATTTTTCTCATGCCCTCCAAACGAGCACCTCTCAAGCTTTTACTTTGTAGCCCAACTTTTAACTTGGTAGACCTACCAGATATATCCCAGTTCTATCCCCAGACTTAAGGATTCCTACCTATCTAAAATTCAGAATGAATTTCTGAGGTTTGAAGGTATCAGAGAACCAACAGAGTAAGCAGAAAGCAGACACCAACCTAGAGAGACTCCTTCAGATCAACATGAGGAAAATGAGGCTTAACAGCATTTTTTTTCTGACAGCAACAACAAAACCAGTCTAGATTAAAAGGCAATAACCCAAGGTGGCAGAGGGCAGAGAGAGAAATGGCCAAGATGCTTCTGGAAAAGCATCAACAGGTTCTTAATACTTTACTCTCTCACCAGAAATATATTCTTCACTTAATTAGGAAGAAAAAAGCTAATGATCATATCAGGTAGGAACTACCACATATATAAATATTTTACATACCACAATTTCAGTAACACCATCAGCAATGTAAGTAGGCAAAATACTGGAACTGACACCCATGCTTTGAAGAGAACTGTTTGTGTAAGGGGCAACTTATCTGCAGCAGTTATTACAGCAAAAGCTTTGCCTTTGCCAATTTTGTGGAACATCATGGGAAGAAGGGAAACAGAAGTCGGTATTACCAGAAGGTAAACATGTCCATGAGTTGAATCTGATGACAGTTAGTTGATGTCAGTTTATACGCGTGGAAAAAAAAAGAAGCAGTAATGACAACAGATTCCTCCTAGAGAGGCCAACCTGCATTTGGAACAAGAACTTGCTGATCTCCTTGATGTTGGCAAAGACATTCTCATCAAGAAATTTGATTCTATTCACATACATCTGGAGCATTTCAGAGACCCTTCTCTTCCCTATAAGACCTGGACTGGTCTTCTGCAACAGATTCCTGACACCTAACGTTTGCGTGTGTGTATAATTTTCTTAATCTTCTAAAAAAAAAAAAACCCTCTCAACTACTGTGCAATCAAACAACAGCAACAGTGACAGAAATTGCCATAATGAACCCAGAGAGGTAGTTTATACTTCCTTGAAAGATACCTTTTCCACAAACAGCGAGAAAACAAGGAAAACAAAATAAATGGCATGTTCTCTGAGCCATTTATGATGGAGGCTCTATATAAGGAAATTCTAAAACAAAGAGAAGAAAATATCATCGTAAATGACCATGAAAAATAATTCAGATTATGCTATGAATTCTCAGAGAAACTTAGCTAAATTTGAAAGTAGATTTGCCCAAGCAAGAAGCTGTGATAAAAGACAGAAAACACTAAGAACACTAAGTCCATGTTCTGTAAGGGTCATTTTTTGTGCCCTTTGTCTTCTGAGATAGTGAACATATTCTTTCACATTTTAGGGAGCTCAAAGCAGCACCAGTATATTTAGAATTTACTCCAGTGAAGATGGAGAGAGAAGAAGGAAGAATATCCGAGTAAGGCTCATTGAAAACTACAATTCAAACAGCAGTTATGAGGCATGTGTAACTATAATCACATTAATTTTTGTTCATCCAGAGAGCAACAAGTTTAAATAAAGTCACATGCACACGCTTGAGTACTCTGTTGGTACGATGTTTACAAGTGGCTGCAAACATCAAGCACATCAAACAACTGCCTCAGCCATTGTCTCCCCATAAATTAGCCATGTTCTGACCAAAACTCAGTTGCTGCTTTTTCTATGCCTTTACTGTAACAGAACATGACCTCTTCAGAAAGTATATTTTTATCATGCCTGGGAAGAGACCAAGGATAATTTAGCTCTAGTAAGCCGCATGGAAACTGCAGCAAACTGCTAAAGAGATGCAGGAATTACCTAACACTTAGTTTGTAATTTTAACAGCTTATGAACTATCATTCCTCATTCTCCCTAAAGGCCTACTTCTTTTCAGAAGAACTCTCTTTCTTTCAAATTTGGCCACCTGGTGTTTCCTAGTTGATAACTGAAAAACTTATTGTAAACAACCAGTCACATCACTTCTTCAAACTGCTGATACAACATGACAGAGAAAAAACAATTTAAAACAAAAGACTATCAAACTTTGGAGGAATCTCCTTGAGATACTTATGTACAATTTCAGAGCACACTACTTCAAAAAACATATGCTAGGTAGAAACACTGTGTACAAAAACCTCTACGACAACTTGTCAAGAAAGACTACAAGCAGATGGACATAGGAGGTTACAATGAGCATGACCAAGTGAATTAGACAGGTCACAATTACAGGCCCTTTCATGCCATGACATTTGGTCTGCAGCTCCAAATTAAAATGCTCGGCTTCCTGATGTCCCCCAAAACGAAATGTTTCTTATTTCAGGAAACCTGAAGCTGGGTCTTTTATTCAGACTTCATTACCTTTGTGAAAGTGTACGTAAGCTAAAACAAGTTGAGTAATTGACACAGAAATGAAACTAATTAACCATTTGAAAACACTGCCAATTGAAAAGTAAAGAATAATGAACTATCTTTCATTTTCATCTTACATTTAGTCACTAATTTTTAAAATTCAATCACTTGCACATCCTCATCATTACTACACAGTTACATTAAAAAGTACATTAAAAAGCCCCTCCTATCATTTACTCCCTATAGGATTTTATAGGATACCGAAAATGAGCTCGTCATGCCAGCGGATTCGTTATGACTGTAACAGCACAGAACAATCACACACAAAGCCAGTGGAGCTCAGATTTCTGCGTACCTGATACGCCTCCACCACAAGCAGCCCAAAGGCACAAGTTTGACAAAACAACATTTGAAATTATTTGAACACACAGTAGCCATCATGAACTGCTACCTCAGGCACACTGCTGGCTTGAAGGCCAGACTCCTTGGTCTGTACTTTTATTTTTCCCTCCCAAACTTCTGACAAAGTAGCTTCCACCTACAGAAGCAGAGACCAAAGAAGAAAGTAGTGACTCCCAGAAGATGAAAGTCAGTAAGAAAAGACTGAGTATGTGAAAAGAGTTAATAAAGAGAAGATGGAAAAAGCAAGTGTGCAAGAAAGAATCAAGAGACTTAGGAAGGCCCAGGGCAGGAGGGAGCAAGAGAATCCCAAAGAGAAAAAAAAGAAAGGAAGGTGAATATACAACTATAACGAAGAAGAGTGAGATGCATTTTGAAGACTTTGTGTAGGTTTGTCCAATGGTCTAAAGATACTCAGAAGAAGCAAGTTGACCACCTGATCTGAGAAACACCAATGTGTTGCCATACATCAAAACACGTATAAAAGAAAATTAACATCTACTCAAGATGAGCAATTAGATCATTACATTTAAAAAATTGGACTGAATAACAACAAAAAAGCTCCAGCCCGATATCTGAAGACAGGTATTTCCTCTACAGCAGATCTATACTGCACTGGTATAGGCACAAATAAAGTTTAATAAAGACTAGCCTCAAACAGCCTAGGAACTTTCACTTCTAGGATGTTTTTCTTGAGTCCATTCTCCAAAGCTACCATTATGCTTAACTATGTCTACTATACTACCAGAAGTGTCAAGTTGTATTTGAAAAGAAAAACAGGCTAAGATTTAACTAAATATGATGACATGACTGACTGAAGAAGCAGGGCATCTGCTAGAAGAACAATATGGTAACAGTCAATATCAAAACCACGTGCAGACAAATGGAAATTCTGAGACTAGTACATAAGCTAATGTAATGCCTCACTTTAGTGGCATGCAGAGATCACATATTTCTCATGTATTTCTCCTAATAAACAGTAGTGCCTAGATAGGTCCCATGACAACTGCCAGATAAAAGAATTACAGGATTCATGCTTAGACACCATTATTTTATTACAGCAAGAAACTGAGATAATTATTCAACTGATGTGATTTATTTTTGGTAGCTTTGTTTGCTTTAGAAGATATAAGAAAAGCTTAATGAGAAGGAACATGTATAAACATGTCCTCATTGTCTACATACAATGGCATTGAAGGTTCAGCTGTGGCTGAGGCCCAACTGAAGACATCTTGAAATTGTTCTCAAGTGCAACCACCTTTTAATAAGAAAACCTGAGATCTACCCAAGAGCAACACTCATAACAAGGGTGTACTTTTGTGTACTTTAAAACTGGTGTGTACTAGTGAAATCTTGCATTAAAATAATTCTCTTCACAAAACTTTTGAAGTGGAACATCAAATAGAACAACTGTTTAAAAGCGTATTTTTTGGTCTACAAGCCTTGCGTTAAGATTGCTTGAATGAGAAGGCAATGAGCAGAGTTTACAACCCTCAGAGTTGCAGCAGAGTAAAGACTACAAATATACACTGGCTGCATGATGTTATAGCCAGAACTCAACACTGACTCCTTAAGTCAATGGTTTCAGTGACAGGCATTTATTCATGGTATAAATTATTTATCTGGCTTAGCTCCAGCTTCTGAGAGCAAAAAATTTTTTTTTCTAAACTTTTGTTTCTAGCCTTCTATTTAAACTTTCTTTCTAACATCATTTTGTTTCCAGCCTAATTCAAAACCAACTTCTAAGTCCAAATATACAAGACTCATTAGTTTTCTTTCCATTTTTTTAAGAAAGTGGTAATTCTTCTGATGACTATGCAACTACTTCACTAGCAAAATACATTTTTTAGAAAAAACAAACATAAATCCCTGGAAGTACCTAAACAAGCTCCCTTCACTTTTCCCACTTAGCAAAAGGGAAGCTAGGTACAAAGTGCTTGTCCAGAATTCAATCTCTGTGTACTATCCTGTTTGCCACTGTCTCCTTCACTGAATTACTGTTAAGATATTAATGTGCAATTTAAATATATAGCTATTGAAAAATACTTCCTCAGTAAGTATGTAAGAAAAGGAACTTACCACAGGGTTAATATCAAATCACAGCAGTGGTAAATGAAGTTCACTATCATCACCCTTCTACTGGATAAATATGAAAATTTTCAGAATCACTGACTAAAGACATATTCTTCTACATGTTAGGTATTACTGCACCTGCTGACTTCCTTCCAAATCTGCTTTATTATGGCATTAATGTAGCGCAACATAAGACCTGGCAGCCACAGGCCCATATTATAAAAATACTTATTTTAGCCTTCTACAGAACAAGTCTGCTACTCAGTTTGTCATTCTTAGCATAATGAACTACATTTGCAGATAAAAAAAGGATTATGCATTTTCCAAGAGCGTTATGTAAAAGTCTGCGTTTGTTGACACAGAAAACTGATGGTTGCCCTTCTTAATTACAGAGTATTTCAGGCTTCATATCTCCAAATTTTCCTCATTATACTGCATCTCTGCTCCTCAATTTGCTGTTATTCATGTGAAGTCCCACTAATCTCAGCAATAGTCCAAGTAAACTCAGAAACTGCCTACAGCCAAGCAAGCCGCAGGTCTCTGAAAACAAGTCAAAATATGGCATATTAGAAGAATTTAAAAATTAAGTGTGGTTTAATAAAAAATATTAATAGCAGTGCCCAATGCTGTACTACCCTCATTCAATGTCAGAGCAGGTAGTTTTTGGGTTATGAGCCAAACAAGATATGAAACCAACTACATACAGTATGTTAGAAATATACAAAATGTAAAACTACTTGCTTTTCCTATTTTACTGAAGTATTCTTTGCAATTATACGTACTAGACAATAAAAACTACTTGCACTGTTGCCATTTTTTTTTCTCCCCACCACTCTCATTTCCAAGACACTTTAGAATACTTCATTAGAAGGCAAACTATCTGGTTTGGAAGTTGTAATATCATAGGAGAATGAATTTAATCAACCATCTCTTAGTTTTGCTTACATACCTTAAGTGTTGGATCCAAAATCAAAGACTAAGAATGAAAATCAGACATGAGAGTGGACAACAGCAACATACGTTTTCTTACAAGTTGCTGAAGTTTTATGGCAAATAAATCGTTTACCAGCAGAAGCTTCAAAATAATTTTGAATTAACAAATGCTTTTGTCCAGTCTGATGAAGAAAATGTATCATAGACAGACTTGCTTTTACATCTGTAACAAAACATACCTGTCCCAGTCAAAAGTCCAGCACTCTTCTTTCGTGCATAAGCGCGTAAGTGGTTGGACAGGCTAACAGCACTTGTAAACGTCGTATTGCAATGCACACACGTTCTAAGCTTCACAGGCATACCTATCATTCAAAAGAAAACTATAATCCAGTTCTCTCTTCAAAAAATGAAATTCTCAAAGCGTTGTAAAAAGTTTTCTGCAATAAAGATGGTTTAAAATATATTCACTGCATTGACGCGATTGTTTAGTATATTAGAAGGATCCAAGTTAACCGTTATTAGTTTTCCACCTAGTGCTTTAAGCCAAACCGTGTTATTCGAAAAAGAACAGAAAGGAGGCAACTTGAGCCAGGTAGGCTACTCTGCATTTAATACCTACTACCAAGCTCCTACAGATCTCCACATAATGAAGCTCTAATTCCAAAATATAATCCTGCAATTTGAATAGCACAGTTCTGTTGAGAAATTTCAGAGTTTTCAGAATTTCCAATAAAGAGAATTTGAAAAGTCAAGTTGACAAAGTGGCAATTAAAAGTGTTTTACCCATAAGACCAAAGTGCTCAGTATTAAAATTAGGCTGCTGTTGAAGGCTCAGAGAAAAAGGTGGTAAAACACACCACTGAACAGCTGTTAGACAAAACATTTTGTTCAGTGCATTTTCTATTCATTACATTAGATGCACAATTGATAATGAAAATAAATGATTTGAAGTTTTTTGCTAAAATATTTGTGCTAAATAAATATCAACAAAGCAACATGCTATTTATCACACGAAAACAATCAAACAATACTGAACTCCTCACTTACAGACAAAGAAACCATTATAACTTATCTCCTGCTCAACTTCACCATAACATTTCTCCCTGCATGTTACCAAAGATATATTGTTTTGGTCAACTAATATTTCAGGCTCTCTACTAATAAATTATTAGAAGAATAAATGAAAAACCTAAAACTACTCAGCTGAAAAGTCTCTGCAGGAAAGAAAGAATGCTATTCTCCAGCAGCCCACAGAAGACATGCTGTTTTTTCAGGCAAGTTATAGAAGAAGAACACCTGGCTGGTAAAAGCCTTTTTAAAACTAAAACCAGAATTAGGAATATTTGCCCTTTTTAGGAAAACGAGAAGATTTTCAACTTGATGTTAAATATTTTCTTATTAACTCAACTGGCACAGTGCGTTAGTTATCAAATTCTGTTACCTCAGCCACAGAAAACTATCGGGCCCCATTCAGAACTGTTAGTACTATGCGAGCGTATGTTTATTTTTACTTGGTTGTTCATCACAACCAAACAGGTTCTACCTAGTACTGAGCAGTAAATATTACACAGAAAGCAAAACACAGTGTCAGGTTTGGCAAGCTATTCCATGAGCATTGTTTTTCAAATCATTAAACCTGTCAGATACACTTCCTTTATTAAGCAATCTCCAGTCTTAAGGGACAACCACAGACGTACAAAAGACGTAAAATGTAATTCTTTCCCACTTCTACTATGTCATTTTAGGAAGCCACCTTTCTTAAGAGATTTATTGCCACACTTTTATAGCCCCCTAAAAGAACTTCTGAGCACATCAGATTGCTGGGGTTTTTTGTTTAAAGGAAGAAAAGAATATAGGTGAAAAAGTACTAGGCACTGCCAGTTTTACTAACCTGGTTAATAACAAGAAAAGAAACAGCACCAAAAAAGTCAGGGGTATAAAAATAAGAACCTGCTCCTCAAACTAGAGAATCCTGCAGCATTGGTGGCGTCCAACCAAGAAAACCAGTAAATGCAACCTCTACATACATATTAAAAAGGATGTTGTAAGAGTTCCCCAAGACTAGAAATAATTCTCATGTGACAAGTAAGTTAAAAACATCACCCTAAGAGCCTGCTCTAATAGAGTCTGTATACTAATAGTACACAGAGTATCTAGGAAGTTGATTGTAGAATTGTTCGATTAGCACAATTCTCAGTGGAAGGACAATCTAGGTCCTTAATGGTCAGAGGCTGTGCTTTGGAAACCTGCTGGCTACAACTGTATGCCAACAGAGCTTGAACCAGCACAGGTTGTCACTCAGGATAGACAGGCCCTAAGCAAGCATGAGTTTTTCACAATAGCCACAATTTGCAACAAACAAGAAATAATCTATGTTGTAAGAGTATGTTGGCCTAAAACCATCAAAATTAGTTGACAGTGATTCACCAATTTGCAGTAATGGTATCAACAGTTCTGTTAGTTTGAGCAAATGCTGCCTTGCACAAACCTTGAAGACTTAAATGCAGTATTCCCCAACCAGCTGTTTTAACGTCCAAAACCGGGGTTGCAAGCCCAAACATTTCAGAACTGTTATTCTACTAAATGTGCATGGACACTTCAACTTGTTTACTGCAGGATGTCTTCTTCCTTACTGAGGCTCACTTTCTGTCTGCTTTCAATTTGCATGCCCAGTCATATGCAGAACAGGAACTAAATTCCATGCAAAAACCCTTCAGTGCTGCTGAGGGGTTTTTTCACTTTAGGAAAAACATGTCAGAAAAATTTGCTGTGCTACCTCTCGCAGTCAAGTGTCCTCTGGAAATGAAACAAGAATTAAATGAACAGAATCTCAAATAAAATACTCTGCACTTGCACATTTTCTATGAATTATATAATTCTTTGGAAATGTTGTCAAGAAACACCTTCTTACCTGACTGCATAGTCAAGTCCATTTTTTGTGGCTGATACATCAATGGACTGTCTTCATTTAATGGAAGAACACATTTCTGAACAAACCTCTTTCTTGCAGTTTGATTATGAATCTTTTGAGGGGAAATATCAGGATTCCTTTCTTCTCCTAACCTCTTGTTTTTCAGGAGTTCTATCAGTGTAAGTGATTGATTTCTTTTTTCATCATGTAGTACTGCTTTTGCTTCATCACATTCATTTAGGAAACTCAGCCCTTCTTCCTCCGATGCAGACACAGATATATCTTCAGTCTTTAGGCCATTATGGTATGCTTCAAGAGGTATAACATTCTGAGATAAAAAGTCATCATTTGATGCAAATTTCTGAGCAACAAATGGTCTGGGAATAATACGGCGACTGTTCAAAGCCTTTAGGATTTTTTCATACTTCTCTTCATTTTGCATCATCTCATTCAGAACACAGATGGGAGATTTGTGTGCGTCCCACTTGGTTTTGCCAAGCCTCTTCAGGTGTCCTCGCACATGATTAGACAATCCAATTTTAGTATCAAACCAGCCACCACAGAGCTGACATGTATGCTCAGAGGAAGTTTCAGATTTCTCAATCGCTACAAAGAAAATAATTATAATGTTTTTTGACAATTATATACAGTTAAATATGACAACTGCAAATCATGAGAAGAGAGGCTTTACAACAAGATAAAGCAAGTCTTGCTCAGTAAACCCCTTTGTCCCCCCCTTTACTTCGTACCCAAATAAAAAAACAAATCTTACCTTTTCTGACACGTTTAACAGGAGTCCCTGTTCCAGCTCTTTTAAAATGTTGCATTTTGTCACTTGTTGCTATCTGTTCTGGTGAAACAACATGACGAGCTTCATAGCTTAGTCCAGCTCTGTGAAGATGTCCTCTGACATGATTGGACAAGCCAACACCTGTTTCAAAGGTTGCTGGACAGTACGGGCACGACTTCTTTTCAAGTGACAAATCAGTCCAATGGAAAACTGAATTATGCTTTGGCAATGCTGATCCTACATTTTCTAAATTCTGAGGATCATGCAAATCATGCAAGAAGTTACTACCCTCAGCATCTTCGTAATACTCAAAATAAAAGCCATCATTCTGCTCATAACCAAGTGAAGATTTATCAGCAGCTTCATTATCTTCAATTTTACCTTTGAATATGGGGAATAGGTTTACATGCTCCTGATTAATATCACTGTAAGATTCATCCTCCACAGACTGTGTAGTGTAATCACATAGTTCAACATTTTCCCATGAACTCTCATCCTCCGTTTCATAGCTGTCTTTTTTTTCAGCAGAGTTTAGTTTCTGTAAAACAACAACAGTCATTTTATGCAGAAAATCTGGATAGCAATCCAAATCATCTCCTGTAACAGAGCCTTCCCTCTTGGATTCTTTAACCACTCTTTTTACAGCTACATGTCTATGATCTTTACAGCCTTCTGCCCTTTTGCAATCAAGGCTATTTGAATCCATGACAAAACAATTATTACTTGATGAAGAAAATAAATGTAAAGCACTGACAGATTTGGACTCTTCCTTTTTTAAATGCAAAGGGTAAGAGTCACTAGATTTTTTAATTATCCTGTAGTTTTCATATTTGTGTCTATACAAATAATTACTTTTTTTGACACTAGCTTTCTGCTTTGCTGCTTGATGAAAACATTTACGTTTTTGGTCAATGCTACTTCTAATAAAAAAGTTCTTGTTTGTAGAATTTAGATTGCACACACTTACAGATGTCTGTGAAACGCTTTTCCGAGCCTTCTGTATCCTGTAGGGTCTCTTGTGAAGTTTTGTGAAGTTACTGGACTGTGAAGTAGAGCCAAATGATCTTTTTACATCCTGTTTTAAAGCAGAGTTCTTTGGAAAAGTAGAAGAATGTTTGATCAACTGTTTTGTCCTGCTGCGAAAATCTAAAGATTCCTCCATTATGCTGCCTTTTCTTTTCTCTAGTCTAAGATGGCTACCAAAGGGATCAATGCATGATGCTGAATGCAAATATGCCATGTGTTTTTTTAAAATGCTTCTAGCTGAAGTAGCAAACGGACACAGCTTACACATGTATGTCGATGACTTTCTCGAGGATCCTAAATAAGGATCTTTCAAGGATGCCTTTTTCTGGGTTTTTCTCTGGGATAAGTCACTACCAATAATTGAACATTTGACTACTGCTCCATGAGCGATCCCTCGATGGCATTCCAACTCATTTTCTGTCACAGCCATGAAATTGCATTCCTCACAACAATAATACCTTTTATCTTTTTCATGGGTCTTTGCATGCTGCACAAACGTTTTGGGACAATTGGTACCAAATACACACTGTGGGCATTGTAACCGTGCACTCCTACCCTCATCCTGAAGTTCTTTCAGCTCACGGATTTCTTCCATCAGTTTCTGCCTTCTTTCCTGGTGAATTATCATATGTTTAAGAAGTGAATTACGATCTCGAAATGTCCTTCCACATTCCCTACATGCGTAGGGCCTGGGGACATTGAGATGCCGGAAATGACTGTTCCCATCTAAATGGTACATCATATGCCTATGCAGGTGTTTCTTCTCTCTAAAATTCACATTGCACTTTGTACAGGGATAAAATGATGGTTCATCAGTACTGAAAGTAGATGGTGGTTCAGAATCATTCTCTTCACATTTGTTTTTCAAAGTATTGGATAGAAAAGTGCTAGTGTGAACAGGAGAAGTATCTTCTGCACAGTTACTAGTGGGACTATAAATGAGCTGCTGGATACCATCAACAGTTTCCAGCTCTTCATCTGTGGATTCAGGCTTTACTTTACTCAACGAATATTTCTGTGGTTCTACTATTTGTAGTTCCTCATTCTGCTCTAAGAATTCAACATTTAATAGTTTTGATTTACTAGGAATACAACTGGTATCATCAAAACAGTCTTCAGTATAACGTGTTATTTTACTAACATCCATTTTCCTTTTTCGCTTCTTTTCTATCCCTACCTTACAGTGAATGGGAGACTTCTCTGCTGTTTCTTCATTTGTCATAAGAAACTGTATAAACTCTTTTTGTGGATCCCAGCTAGGATCACACCCCGATCTGAAGTCACCTGTACCTGAGGAAATGCCTGTTAATGTATCAACACAATCATCTTTTAATAGTAAATTTTTATCATCCTCACAAACTTCTACTTGGTCTACTAAAGTGCTATCTACACTGTTTCCTACTGTTTTCTGTGAATCACAACCAGTTGAAGCAGAGGTAGGTAGATTTTTAATGGAATGAGTCAGGTTCTTAGCATGTGCTACATCAGGTAACAAAAATAAAACTTGGTGCTGATTTGATTTCTGTGTTGTACTCTTTGCAGGCAGCTGAAGATCATGAACCACTGTCAAAGTTGAGCAGGAATCTGTGAGATGACCTCCAGGCTGTCCAGTGGTTAATGAAGCACTGCCTTTATTCATAATGGAAGTCTTTGTTGAGGTGGAGTGTGAAACTGGTCCATTAACAGCAGTTCCTCTAGACAACATGAAGTTTTCACTAGAAACAGTAGGAGCACCAGTGTGTATAAATAGAGAAGCCTGGCCTCCACTTAAGGCTTTTTCAGATCTGTCCCTTGATAGCTCCTCAGTCAGAGTCAATGTGTCACTCTCTTCTGGTTTAGGAATGCCACCTTCTTCCTCAGATACAAAATTATCATCACATAAGATTTCTTCTTCTTCTTTAGCACCAGTGACACCAGTATTTATTTCTAAATCATCCATATTGCTGGTCTGTCCATTAAATACATTTATACTAAAAAAGAAACAAGAAAAAAAATCAGACAATTGCAGAAATAAATAATGACAACTTTAATTTACAGCTTTTCTTCAGGATCACTCTTCACACTGTAATCTAAAAAGATGTTTTGAACTTTTCAAAAATCTACTTTTCATTTAGGATATCCAGGACATTTATAGTGAATCAATGAAGCAATAAAATACACTTTTTAAAATATGCAGTATTAATAACCATACATAAACTAATCACTGCCAAATATCCCAGTTTAAAGAAGACTAAGACCTACACACAAGCAAGATGGGGAAATTTAGATTGCAAAACAAACTCAAATACATTCTCTATGTACATAAATACAGTTTATCTTCAGTTATTCTGCAAAAGAAAAAGTAAAGAGTAAAGGCTACCTAGACATCTACAAGCTATTTTGGGTTTTTTCAAGACATACTTTCTTTAGGAAATTAAAACAGTCTTTACATTTCTCAAGGTAGCACTTTTTTTGAAGTACTTCCATACAATTGACCTGATGCTAAATGGAAGCCTGCAGAAGGAAAAAACACAATAAAGCTGATTTTGAGCATCTGATTAGTGACAGAGACACAGCAAAGCATCAAACTCACTGAGTTAACTAGATGTCTTCCTATTATCTTCTTACAAAAGGACTCTCCTTGCTTTAAAACAAATCCTATTTGCTTATAAGGTTATTTTAAACTATAAGGAAATCAAACAACATCTTATCAAAGGTGAGGAAAAAATACTCTAAGAACAAAACATTTCATTAGGATTTACCTACCAGATGAAGTCACCGTGTTGAATCCAGAGCATGACACTAACAGTATCTTCCAGTACAGAGAACTACTGTTAATTCTGTTAATTAATTACTCTTAATAAATACTGTTAATTAATATTAATTCCCTGCGGATGGCCTTGTCTTTCTACAAATGACTTCTATTCATATATCAAATCATCTATTCAATGCTCAGCAAGCACAAATAGTTGCCTACACATGAAAATCAATGTGTGACCTGGCATTCACTTTTCATACGGGTCCTCAGAACACAGGGAGCATAACACATTAAAACATTCATCTAGGAGTCAGGACATCTATATTTTACAGAAATCAAGTCTTTTACCCTTAGAGAGTACTACTCACTTTGATCTTTTGGGGGTTTGATTCCTGTAATCACATAGTTTCAGTTACTAATTAACATTTTGAATAGAACTCAGTTATAAGGAGTTATTACCTAGACTTTTTTAAGTAAGATGTTATAACTCACAACTAGTATCCATGGCTTCCTGCAATGGTCCTTTATTGAAATCCAGGAAGACCACTTTGGACATCCTTTTTTCCTAAGGAGAGAAAACAACCTAGTTAAACAACACCAGTTTCATCTTCACACATAATGTTTTAATAAATGTCCAGTATTTTCAATTCAACCAAATGACAGCTATCCACACAATTCAAAGCTAACTACAGCTTCATGGAAATTCTCTTTTATTGCACTTGTTTTGTTTCAAATCAACAAAAGGACAAAGCAATTATTTAATCACTTCTGAGTTTGTAGAAAACAAACCTTAATGTACAGTAACTTATTTTGGCAGATAAAAGTAATTTTATTTGGAGTAGAAATACAATGAATTAATAAGTCATTAAAAATAGACTTCCTTTGCTACTCCATCACTGAACTAGCCCATTCAGAAATACAGCAATGCTCACACCAGAGCCATAATAAATGTTTAAAGTGTGTGAAATATTTTATTATATTATTATCTGTAACATACCTGTACACAAACGTTTTACAAGACACACCAGTTTCTCATCTTGCCATTTCTTAGATGTTTGCTTTTCTTTGCTGTTTTGAGATGGGTCATTTTTCACTATAATAATGACTTCCAATAAGATCACATCCAAAACTATCACCCTAAAATGGTGATAATGCACCACCCAGCAGGAGTCTTTACATCACCTACACAAGTTAGAAATGGGCAGTACAAACATGCACTAATAATCAGTAATGCAAAAGCCAATTAAAAGAAGTGAAGCCTACAATGATGCAGAACAGCTCCAGCAATTTTACAACTCAATAATGTAGGCTTCATATAGCATCAGGCAGCAAAGTATAAAACTGTTCACAAAACATTTATAAGAAACTGAGCAAGACAATTTTGCCTGGAAGATGTGCGTTTTCCTTGGTGTATTGCTGCAGAAGCAGACAAAAGCGTGCTCAATCTGAGAGCCTGTATTAGCTTTTCTCAACAGGAAGCAACGTTGCTAACGAAGTGGTAAATTCAGTGTTAATGAGTGGCTTCACTGTTACCACCTCTGAGGTAAAACCTTCCATGTTCCAAGATCCACCCATCTGTTCTGGTGTGAGGGGTTCAGAGGAAGAACAGACGCTTCCCATTAAAAGCAACTTCATTGGTACCCCCTGAACAGCAGGAAGGCAGACTGAGAATACTGTGCTGCTTGGAGACTGAAATTCTCATTATCAGAATGGCTCCTCAAAACTTCGCACAGGTTTACAAGATGAAGACAAAACTATGTTGCTCTACATACAAAACCACACTGCTAATGAATATTTGTGTTAAAGCTGAAGTTAAGAAGGTGGCTGTGACACCCTGTGGTCACCATTAAACTGAGATTCTCTTCAGACTTATCAGAGATATCTGAAGTATTACCTAATACAATCTTCTAAGGATTCCTCTCCATACTGTATATTAATAGAGATTGTGAAGTATTCCATATGGGTATGATTAGAAGTCTTCTATGGCAATACAGGTATCCCTACAGATTTCAGTCTTTGAATCAAGCCTGAAATGGTTACTGTATCAATAATGTCACTGCTGTATTTTAAAAATTTTCAGCTAATTATCATTTTTATTCTTATCATCATATATAATTATTCTTTCCAGCTATCAAGGTGGTACAACGCACTATTTTTTGTGCAGGACAGCAACAATAAAGTTAACAGTTTTAACAGTGTGGCATTAGAGAAAACAGAAAATGTATTTTGAAATCACAATAACTTAGTCTTGCGATAACGTTGAACCAAGATGCAATACTTCAGTTACATTATCTACTCCACGTGCCAGAATTTATGCAGTGACAACGACAGGTATAACTAAAGACACAATGCCATGTTTTTGAGGAAATGTTATCATCTAACTTGTCTCTTGGGAAAGAAAGAAAAATCAATCATTGTAACTAAGATGTAACCGAGGCTATGCAATATTCTTTGCATGCTTCCATCAGAGTTTTAAATTTATCTTCTCTATACTATATCAGGAATACAAAATTATTAATTCTGTCAAAATATATAGCATTTAATATTTGATGTATTTGAAAAATTAAAAATTGAGATCAAATTTTCAATTTATTGAAAGTACTGCTTATCATATCCACTACCAGGACTATATCACCTCAACAAGAGAGCTGAGGTAATTTTTATTTAAGCATCTAAGTGCAATACACTTTGGAGATATATACATGTAAAAATGGTGATGGAAAGTGTCTGGAAAAGCCTGCAAAAGTGTACATAATCCCAGCTCCTACCTTTGAAACATTTTATCTAATGGCTAGGTAAAATTCAATTCAATTATTTCAGTTAAGCATAGAATAACTGCAGTGCATTTAACAGTGTTATTCTTGGTTTACTTGCTATGCTATTTTCTATACAGAGATTATTTCATATTCAAAAGTAGAAACCAATTATTTATCCTAACTGCTAAGCCAAACGCCACTACTTATTAATTGATTTAAAATCCAGCTAATTTTAAATACTGTTTTTGTTCATAAAGTATCAGTTTTAAAAATCGTAATGTGTTCTGCAGATATGACTGCCTGTGGCCAGATAATCTAAGCACTAAAAAAGTGTAAGGTCAGATCTATCTCCAAGCTGACAGTTCATAATTTAAATGCCTTAAGCTAATCTTATTGTCTTAAAAAATCTTGAACATCAGTATTTTTGCAAACTATCAGCACTTGCTATAACACCCTTACTACACTACATCTTGAGGTTACTACAGAAGAAATGAGGTGATAATTGCATATTAACATAATTATTTGGTAATCCCTCCAAGCAAGCTTCCTAGGTCACTCAGTAATTCAGATTAGATGCAACCTTCCTGTCATCAGATCTATGCTGTCCACTTTCTGTTCATTAATAATTCTTTTTGATAGGAATGTACTTAAATCCATTGTTCTATGTACATTATTAATTGTATTTATTATCAGTAGGTTTATGACCTTTCCAAGTTCTATTTCATAATGACAACCTTTACTATGCAGTAGGGTCACACACCAAATTAGGAGCACTGCCTTCATGCAATGCTAGCTCAGGAAAGCTTACACCTCAGTGCTAAGCACACCATGCTGTTGCCTACTAGCAGTTGTAGGCAAGAGATCTGGCAGCCTCTGTTGCAAGCACTGTGTCATTTTATAGGAATTTACAGTAAATCTGAAAGCACACTGGAGCTGAAAAGTTAAGACAGAAGAATTTAGCTGAGTTTGTGAAAAGCATGAAATACCTTTATGTGTTCTGATATCCAGTTTCTCACGAAATTCATAAATATGAGCCAATGAGCTAAAAGCACAGAGTGACTATTAAGCAGCACAACAACTTACAAGCCGTCTCCTAAATGGTTTGAATTTAATCAGCTTTAAAAAAACTGACGAAATACAGTGTCTTTCAGCAGTGCTGTTACAAAGCAAAAACGTACTGGTCCTATGCTAAACCACTCCTCATAAGCCAAGTTCTTTAAGCAGATATGTGAATAACCAGGACACTCAAGGGATTGTTCAAATATTCAACAGATAGGAGAGGTGCTTCAGGTCTGCACTGCTCCCATTTATAGATCTTTCATCAAGACTTCAAAATGTAAGCAGAGAAAACTAACAAAACCTACCATCTTTTCCACAAGTGTTTCATAATGAAGCTTTCTCAAGTGACAAATTATATTAAAGGTGATGGAACCGAAGTCACAGATTTTTTAGGCAACAGAGTACCAGAGAGAGTTAAAGTACATCATAGTACAGGACTAAAAAGGCATCATCTCCTTCCATTTTGCCCCATCACAGTCTATGCTTTAAAACCTTAATCATGGCAAACATCAAGCCATCTGACCTTCTGTCAGAAGAGAAAGGTTTAAGAATCTCTGGAAAATGAAGGTTTGTACAGAACAATAGAGGAACTGGTAATGTATCAGCACAAACCAGCCACATCTTCAAAAAAATACCCTTAGAATACAGCTGCACAATATTTTTGCCTCTTCCATATAGTAACGCACGGTTTATGCCTCTGGAGCTTTGGGTGTTATCTAGCAATATTAATGCCCCAAATCAATAAAATCATGACACACTGATCATTAGAATATCTATTACTTGTTTTCCAGTTTATTTCTTTTTTAAAAGCTATCCCAATCCACTCTTCAGATGGAAATAAAACCACAAAGCCTGACAACTAGAGGACCAGTCAGTGACCCACCTTGCCTTCCCCCAGCTTCTATTTGTGTTTGCAAACTAAATGGTTGAAAATACATTTCCTTCTGCACAGCAGAAACATTACTTGTAGACTGCCTTACTTAGCTTTGAAATCTACAAATGAACACTTTTTTCAAACTTCTGTAGTGAAGAGACAGCTTAATATGCATAACACCATGAGTACTGCCCCCCCACACCGACTTTACACACAGGCTGCAGTTATTAATCTAACTACAACATGAGGAGTTCCATTCAAAACTAGTTATCTTCAATACAATTCAAATACACAGCTGTTCACAGACTGCCATATTAAAAGTTTTTAAAGCAGTATGAAATATTACCATACAACATTTGTATTATACCTAAATAAATACAAAGTTACTACCACCTACAGAATAACTTTTTTTACTGTTAGAAAGTTCACCGAGTTGTCAAATATCTGTAGAAAAAAGTGACCACAAAGAAATTCTGTTATAGAGGAGCCGTGACAAGAGGAGCTCATCTTTTTAGTAAGATTATAATTGAGAATATCAAATCTGAAGCACACTTTTTCCAAAAGTTATTTTCCTTAAACTTAGTTCCCAATGCAACAATGTCTTCAAAAGCTCTCTGTCAAGAACAGTAAGGAAACCAAAAATTCCTTAAAGATGTCAAAATTTCAGAAACTCAATTTCTAGTCTAAAACACCTAAGAATGTTACATTAACATCTCATGTGAAAGGAAATTGGACAGAACTTAAGAACAACCATCATACAATTAGAAAGCACAAAAGAGAATTCCATTACTGCCACCAACCATTCTTAATCTTACTCCTCTCTAGTATTGATTTGCTTGGGAAAATAAACCAGTTTGTCACAATGGGGGGCATCAT